CCCACTGTATGTGGATTTTAGAAAGTGGGCAAAGCATAACGTGCACACTTACCAGCTATGTGGATTTTAGAAAGTGTGCAAAACATAACGTGCACACTTACCATTTATGTGGATTTGTAGAAAAGTGTGCAAAGCTTAACGTGTGCACTTACCATAGTATTTGGATTTTAGAGTTCTCCAAGCATCTGTTTACAGATACCCGGAAGTACTGGGCCAAACGGGAGAGGCAAGCTCAAATACAACCCTCAGTGATAAGGGGAGCGATGCTTCCAGAGTGTGTCGACAGAGCCACACTAGTTGAGTGGAGCCCAAGTTACCAGGGTCTAACCAACTCAGAGAAAGGGAACGAGGTCAATAACACGTAACCCTTACCAGACAGGATTTCAGAAAAGTGGCTAAGCATAATGTGCACACTTACCACTTATGTGGATTTTTAGAAAGTGGGCAAAGCATAACGTGCACACTTACCAGCTATGTGGATTTTAGAACGTGCGCAAAGCATAACGTGCACACTTACCACTCATGTGGATTTGTAGAAAATGTGCACTTACCATAATATTTGGATTTAGAGTTTTAGAGTCTGATTACAGATACCCGGAAGTACTGGGCCAAACAGGAGAGGCAAGCTCAAATACAACCCTCAAAGGTGAGTGGAGAACTGCCCGAGACAGTATTACACAGGAAGGTTCTCATAATGCCACCTATGCCATGGTTCCCGCATCGGAGCTCTGTCCGGAGAAGCCTCTAGACCGGACCATCAGTAAGGTCGTCACTAGGATTTAACCATAGAACCAACCAAAACATCATAGGTCCAGAAGGAGACTGTTATGCAGGAAGCTTCCACCTGACCTCGGTCAGGTGGAGATATGGTGGTACAGGGGAATTAGGAAGGGGAAGAAAAAAGGGGTAGATGTTACACCCCTTGAGGAAAAGAGTGATACCTAAGGATTACTCTGATCCGGACGAGAGCGCTGACGCCTTGTCTGGATCACATCTCTCAAGTCTTGCCTACCTCCCTTTGACCCACGATACTTCCTACCCCTACCCGCAGGCAGAGGAGGAGCGCGAGTCCCGACACTAGCCTTCTGTGCTCATCTCTGATCCTCAAACCGAGACGGGCCAGGACCCCTGGGTTGTTCGGGCTCAGACCTGGACCTTCGTGGAATGAAGGTTTTGAAGGCCGCTGAGCGCGCCTTCGCCTCCCTGAACTTTTCGACGACCGTCTCAACGGATGTACCAAAAAGTTCAGAGGGCGAAACCGGGGCATCGAGAAGAAAACCCCTTTCTTTCTTCCCGATGTCTGCCAGGTTTACCCACAGCTGCCTCTCCGTTACTAC